AGATACGTTAACCTTTTCTAAATACCTAGCGTCTGCACTTTGTCGCCGGGGACGCTTCCTCTTCGTCCCCCACCCCCAAGAAACTTGGTGACTTCGCCGCGGGCGATGTGTCAGATATTGTGTAAGTGCAGTTTTCCGGGCTGTTTCAACTGCTCAGTTTAAATAGGGTCCGTGACTAAAAGGAAAAAAAAAGATTTACAATCACCTTATCCCAGTTGATAATTTCTCTTGGAACTCAGAGACACAGGGCAGCACCTGATGTATTTTAACAAGTGTTAATTGAAGGATTTTAGGAAATTGGGGTCGTATAATAGTATTGTTCATCAAGATAAAAAAAATCCTTCACGTCTATTAGAGATTCTACCTCCTTTTATTTATTTAATCCTTAGGCGTTTGAATTGTTGTTCCTTAATCCCTCCCCCTGCGGACTTCTGACTATATTTCTGTAAAATGCTGGATGATGGAGCTGTAACTTGTTTGAAAACTAAAATCCATTTAACAGGTTGTCGCGTATTTGACTTTTACTTGCTACATACTTACATGAAGACACTAGAATCTTTACAACAGTTTTTGCCCTCGTTAGGTTTCGTTTATCTTAGTTTCACAATATTGTGATATGGATTATCTCGTTTGAATGCAGATTGCACGTTGCAGCAGATATCAAAGTGCAATGTTAGATTTGAATTATGGTGGTGAGGTTCTTTAAAGGATTTTTATTTAGTGGATCTACGTTGTGAAAGCTTCTCCTTAAGCATTAACTTCTCTTTACCTGACTCATTTTACGTGTGAAATCATTTCAGTGATTTGTACCGTAATGCCTTTATGTCAGCCAGGAAGGGCTGTGAAATTACCGTTTTCAGAAGATTCGACTTCGGGTTTGGGGAAACAAGTTAGCTTTTTGTGTCCGTGAGATCTGCAGTTAAAGGGCTTGCTTCTTCAGTGTGAAGTGCAAACTCGTCCCCCACTGCGCTCTCAGGGGTGGGGGTAGGGGGAGTAGGAAATAACCAACGTATTCAGCAAAGTGTTTATCCCAAAACATAAATTGCATAGGCTTTTAGTCATCATTTGCTACTTACTGCATCTTGTTAAAAATTACCTTTTTATTTGTCATACAAAGTAATAAGTTTCATTTTGATATTTCATACATATATATCCTGGCACTTTGCTGGTATTTGCTCCTCCACTCTCACTTTCCCAAACTTATCTTGCTGATGGTTTTCAAGAACTTTGATGTGCTTGTGGTATTAAAGCTAAGAGGGCAGCATGTAGATAGAGGAGGTCAAATAGGAGAAATGTTTGCTTTTTACATCAGGACCAATAAAGATACTGTTATACAGTTTTTAAAAAGATTAAAAAAAGATTTAAAAAGATTAGCACTTGGGTGGCCGAGGCAGGAGGATCTCTCTGAGTTGGAGAACAGCCTGATCTACAAGTGCTAGTGCCAGGACAGGCTCCAAAGCTACACAGAGAAACCCTGTCTCCAAAACCGCCCCCCCCTAAAAAAAGTTTAGCTTATCAGTTATCAGGTTTTAATTTCAGGAAAATGAATGCAAGTTTTAGAATTCTAAAAGGGAAAATATATGGTAATTCTTTAAAACATTGAAATTTATACCACTTGATGCATATGCCACATATTTGCTTACCTTTAGGAAATTATGATGGTCTTATTGACTAGTAAAATAGTACGGAACTTAATTTGTAGGTTCTTTTTGAAAATGTGGAGATAAAACTGCTAACAGAATCTGGGCGGTGGTGATGCATGCCTTTAATCCCAGCACTCGGGAGACAGAGGCAGACAGATCTCTGTGAGTTTGAGGCCAGCCTGGTCTACAGCATGAGTTCCAGGACAGACTCCAAAGAAAGCTACACAGAGAAACTCTGTCTCTAAAAACAAAACAACAAAAAACCTGCTAACTGAATATGTAGAAGATGAATTTTTGTATAGAATAACTTAGGACTTTTTACACTCTTATGGAATGACTTTGAATATAGTGGATTATGCAAATTTATTAAAATTTATTTTTTTCACTGCTTGACAAACTGCAAGCCGCCAGGCGTTGGTGGCTCATGCCTTTAATTCCAGCACTCAGGAAGCAGAGGCAGGTGGATCTCTGTGAATTCGAGGTCAGCCTGGTCTACAGTGTGAGTTCCAGGACAACCTCCAAAAGCAGTCTCTCTCTCTCTCTCTCTCTCTCTCTCTGTGTCTCTGTCTCTCTGTCTTTGTCCCTGTCTCTCTGTCTTTGTCTCTGTCTCTCTCTGTGTGTGTGTGTGTGTGTGTGTGTGTTCATTTCCACCTAGGAGGAATACTTTTGTACTCAAAAGATAGTATTGATGTTTAACTTTAAAAAAGCAAATCTTACAGTAAAATATGGTGTGTGAAATGTGATGTTTGTATTCTAGCTATGGAAGATAGTCATAACAATAACAGTATTTTGGTGAGTTTTGGGGCTGGTAAGATGCAGGTTTCCAAGATGCTTTTCATCTAGGCACAGGTTTTGTTTGATTTAAAGCTTTATGGTTTGATCATTATCTCAGGCACTTAAAAGAATGAATTTTGGTGATTTTAGTTTTGGTTTGGGTTTGTCAAAGTGAGATTAATAAACACATGGTTATTGTATTGAAGCACAACTATGCTTTCTACACACTAGAGTAATTTTTTTCTTGCATTGAAGTGTCGAGGCTTTGCTTTTGAACTCTGTTGTTGCTACACTGTCCATTGTTTTTTCTTTATTAACATTTCACAGTTCATCATTTTTTCATTGTTTATTATTATAATGCTTTTTCTTTTTCTATAATCTTACCTGTCTTTTAAAACTTGTTCTCTAACTTTGTTTTCCATTTTCTCTTTTTACTTTTTCCATACAGTGTTGTTACAGATCTTATAGCAGTCGGTTTAAAGGTAGGAATCTTTTACTATCCTTTCATAATCATTTTTGTATTTTAATTTTGACACCCTCCCAGTGGTGAAATAATTTCACCTGTTTATGAAATTGTCTTTTGTTCTATGCGATGATAATCTTTTACCTTTAACTCCAAAATTAAGTAGACACATAGCCAATTTTGGATTTTATGTGCCTTTCAGGAGGAACTATAATATTATATATCTAAAATTTAAAAATATATCCAAAGTTTTACTTAATTATCAGGATGGAATTTCTTGTTTGGTTTTGTTTTTGTAGTTAAAATAATCCTGGGCTCTGATTTACTTTTTTGATGAGTCCTTCTTTAAAAAAAAAAAAAAACATCATCTTGTGGGTATACTTATGAGTAATAAAATAACAATACCTGCTTTTTTAGTGCCAACTATGTGCCTGCCATGTGCTTTACATGTATTCTCACTAATCATCATAGCAGTCCATCAAGATAGGTAATCAGTATTCTTATTTTAGAGATGAAAAAGCAAGTTGAGAAAGTCCATTCAAGATGTGATGTTCTGGTGTTCAAATGCTTGTCTTTACTTTCTGTTTTCAAAGCCTGATCTTTTTTTTTTCATTACACCTCATTGCTAGCAATGAGGCCTCTATGTAAAAGGTAACCATCTAGAGAATTCAATTATTTTGTAGTAATAATTTTCCAAGTTACAATAACTTTTCTAAGTCTTTAGTTATACCAGAATTTTCTCATCACTGTATTAAGAAAATAGAAATCAAGTAGACAGTGCTCCTCAATATGTGGCTTTTAAAATATAATTGTTCTGGAGCTGCGGAGATGGCTCAGCTGTTTATGGTACTTACTGCTCTTGCAGATGGCCCAGGTTTTGTTCTGAGCACCTATATGGTGACTCATAGCTACCGAACTTAAGTTGCAAGGGGGTCAGATGCACTTTTTTGATCTCTGAGTGCACTTGCACATGCATACCCAGGCGGATACATATGCATGACAATTTTTAAATAAAAGATAGCTCATGAAGTTTCCTTTAGTATTTTGGTGTTTGATACTGAGTTGGAAAATCTAGTTCAGTAGGCCACACAGTGCAGATTACTAAAGAAAGTAGAATATATAACCTTTGCATATATTTTAAATAATCTAGGTTCCTTTATATTGTTGCTTGATCACTTTCTAGTCTGTTTTGTCAAACTAAGCACAAATCCCACTACTGTCTCCCTGTTTCTATACACTTTGCTAGCCAGTTCCATGTTTCTGTTTCTTTACACTTACTGGATCTGATGGTGGCACTTACAGTCTGTGACTTCTTAAGACATAAGCATAGCAAGAAGCAGCATTTAACACTAAGAATGGGATGTCTGAAGCTAACATAATTGGGAACTTTATTGCACTGTCTGTTGGGGTTAGGTAGAGTGATCTGCTTTGGCAAGCTTTGGATATGTTTATGAATAGGAAATAACTGGAGGCAACCTTTTCTGGAACTACCCCCTCCATGTGTTGTCTCATTTGAGAATGATACTCAGAGATTAGAAATTAAATCCTCAGCTATATGTCTGAAGGTGCCTTTGGGAGGAGGGATATTTAAATGAATTGTTTTATCTTTAAACATGTGACTTGTTCTATTTTTTTTAATGTGGCTTATAAAAACACATTTTAAAAAGTTACCACTTAGAAGTTAAAGAATTATACTTGAAGGACCCATGCCTGTTTTATTATGGTGAAAACATATCCATAGTAAATGAAAGAAAATTTAAATGTTACGCCTTGGAACCCATTGTGAATACAGGGTGTAGTTTTCTGTCCATATGTTTTGAAGTAGGTGCTTTGAAAGCAGCAACTTGGAAGAGATGGAGGCAGCTGGAATATATATATATATATATATATATATATATATATATAATACAGATATAAATACACAAATTATATGAATATATAAATATATAAGTTAATATATATTGAAATACTGTAATCATGCTATAAAATTATTCATTGTATATACTTTTTTTTTTTTTTTTGGTTGTTTTTAGAGATGTTTCTCTGTGTAGCCATGGCTGTTCTGGAACTCAGAGATCCACCTGCCTCTGCCTTCAAAGTGCTGGGACCAGTACTGCCCACCTGTTATGTACTTTTTGACAGAATTTTCTTTTGTTGATCTCACCAAAGAAGTTTAGTTATTACCAATAATGAGCCATTAAGGCTTGCATTCCATCTAGAGTTTATGAAAGATAAACCAATATATGCTTCCTGTTTGCTGTCTGAATATAATAACACAGTTAATAGCTTTAGTTAGTAGCAAGGATGAAATTCAATTTGTGTTCCCTAAGTTTACTTTCCTGGATTAAAAAAGGTATTTATTTAAAATTATTTTAAAATTTATTTTATATGTATGAGTGTTTTTCTTGTATGCTATGAATATGTTACATGTATGTTTGGTGTCCATGGAGGTCAGAAGAGGGCGATCTGGAACTGAAGTTATGGGTGATTTTGAGCTACTGTTAGGGTACTGGACTATGAACCTGAGTGCCTTCTCCAGCCTCCGAAAATTATTTAGATTTTAGGAAAGATAATGAAAAATATTCTTATAATTAAAAATTATTTTAGCAAAGGAAAACTAGTTGGGTTTAGAGTGATTTAGAATGTGTCACAAAGGAAAACAGTCCTGATGTTTTCTTTACTATTGTGTTTCCAGTGTGTGATGTATTATAATCTCAAAAGACATTTGTTGCGTGAATGAATGCTGAATTGTGTAACACACTAAAGTGGCACACGTACTAGAACCCAAGCTTTCTGATACTGCTAGTATTTCTTCTAATAGGCATAATCTTAGAGTTCCCTGTTCTTTTAGATTGGAATTTTATTGAAGACATGTTTACATTTTCTGGTGTTTAGGATTCATAGCATGGTATGTACTTGAATGTTCTTTGTGGAGTATTAATTTTTGAACCTTGGCCAAATTAAAAAAAACTAGCATTTGGAATTCATTATGAAATATTTTTGTTTTTGGGTTGTTGAGACTGCTAGTTTAACCAGGTTGGACTTGAACCTTCTTCAGTTCCCGGTGGCTGGGGTCAGAGAAATACACTACCATGACTGGCTGTACGTGTGTGTGTGTGTGTGTGTGTGTGTGTGTGTGTGTATCGTATGTATGTATGTATATATGTATGTGTGTATCATTGAGAAACAATGAGCAGTGAGGTAGTTCCTTTAACTGAAGACACAGTCTGGTGATGAGAGTGATATGGCACACATTTCAAGGATTTTATTACACTACATAAATCAGTGTCAGCATTGTAGGTACATTTCTTTTTCTGCATGCCAAAATGCATTTTAAATTTCTAGCTTATGTTTTTCATTAGTACTAGTTGGCTAGTACTCAAAATCTTAAAACTACACTTCGAGTATTCCTTGTTATTTTGGTCTTCCATATTAACTGTCATAGTCTTTTTTTAGGTACTTATCCTATCTTTAGTGGGTTGTTGAGCATAGAAAAACACATGCTTAAAAAGGACTGTAAATTGCTTCCAATAATTGCCATGCCGCCTATGTAGGAAAGAACAATACAGCATATTGAAATGAATTTTGAGGGTCAGTTTTCTTCATGCTTGACATTGGGGGTTAACAGGCAGCAGCCCATGCCCATGAGCACATCCTGCTTTCCACCTGTTTCTGTAAGTAGTTTTATTGAAACACAGCCATCCTTATTTGTTTCCATATTATCTGTGGTTACTTTCACATTATAATTGTAGAGCTAAGTAGTGGTCACAGTCTGCAAAGCATAACATATTCACCTCCTGACACTTTACAGAAAATGTTTGCTTACTGTTGTGCATCACTGTTGGAAACACAGAAGACTCTGGCTACAGTTTTTTTTTTTTTTTTGTTTTTTTGTTTTTTTTTCAAGACAGGGTTTCCCTGTGTAGCTTTGGAGCCTATCCTGGCACTTGCTCTGGAGACCAGGCTGGCCTCGAAGGGATTAAAAGTGTGCGCCACCAACGCCTGGATTCTGGCTACAAATTCTTATCCTTTAAAAATGAGATGTTATTTATGTAGAGTGCAGTTCAATAACCTTTGACAAATTTTAACACTTAATCAAAATGAGAGAATGCTACTCTAAAGATCCCTGTATCTCTTTCCAGACACAGTCTGAGCAACTGTTCTGATTTCTATAATGTAGATTAGTTTTACCTGTTTTTGCACCTTATATGAATGGATTCATAGAATATAAGCTGTCTGGTGTTCGGCAGGTTTTTACTTAGCAAAATGATTTTTAGATTTATCTGTGTTGTTGCATAGTAGTAATTATATGTAGTAGTTCATCCTCTTTTATCTTTTTTTTTTTTTTTTTGCTTGTTTGCTTGCTTTTTTGTGTGTGTGACAGGGTTTCTCTTTGTAGCTTAGAGCCTTTTGTGGAACTTACTCTGTAGATCAGGCTGGCCTTGAACTCACAGAGATCTGCCTCTGCCTCTCGATAGCTGGGATTAGAGGTGTGCAGCACCACCACCCAGCTTTTATCTGTATTATATTATGTCTTAAAGTCTGTTCTTGAATGTGCCTGATCTCTAGTCTAGAGTGCTCAGGTTGTCTATCATTCTTTGCAACCCTTGGTGCTGCTGGGTTTTACTTTTAGTGCTCTAAAGGGCACCTAAATCACTAGTGTCAGTAATATTTCATTACACTTGCAATTTTGTTATTGATTTGATGATTGGTGGTAGTATATATTAGTACCCTTTTATATGCTGTCTAGTGGTTCACTTTTGGGGAATGCCTGTTAATTCTTTTTTTTTTTTAAGTTTCTTGAGTGTTTTGACTGCATGTGTGCATATGTGTGTGTATGTATCATGTGCATACCTGGTGCCTTTGGAGGCCAGAAGAGAGCATTAGATCCTCTAGAACTAAGTTGCAGAAAGTTGTGAACCTCCATGTCGTTATTGGGAGTTGAACCCCAGAGTAACAAATGCTCAATTCCTGAGTCGTCTTTCCAGGTCATCTGTTAAGTCTTTAATGTTTCATTTT